AAAGGGTATTTTGAAAAATCAACGCAACCAGCGGCCTATATCTCAATTTGGTGTCAATTACGGACTGAATCTCCAATTTTTCTTGAATTGTTTGCTTACTATCTTTAATCGGGAAAGGCCTTCTGAGTATGGCTTTTCCCGACCGAAAAGCTCGAGCACCTCGTTTCTTGCTTTTTCTTGCCATTCGGTGTGGATTGCAAGGAGAAGAATACTCCACAACAGTAAACCGGTGGTCGTTTCTTGGCCGGCGAAATAGAATGTCTTGCATTCGTCGACGATTTCAGCAGCCGATATCTGTTTTTTGGGGTTCAATTCGTGGTGGGATTTTAATAGTGAACCGAGAAAATCGTTCCCAAAATTGAGGGCTCGGTTAGTTTTTACGTCGTCTTGTCTTTTCTTTACGATTCCCATGATGGAGTCGTGGAGAAACTTCTCGATTTTGTCGGCTTCGATTTCGTCCTCTGTTCTCAAAAGCTTTCTACAAAAATCGTAATCACATTTAACAATTCTTATATGTTAATAGAAGGTTAATTAGATCTCGCCGTTGGATTTCACAAACGGTAAATTTTTTGGAGAGCTTATTTTTCGATGAATTCGACAATAAGTACTCCCGATCCTTGAAGATGTAAGAAAGACAATACGAAATCGCATGCTTAGAAAATAAAAAATGTTTGCAAGCCCGATTTTCAAATTTGTACACGATTAAAATAGTCGAATCGAACAGCCAAAAGATGTAAGAAAGTCAATACCCGATGCCGAAGAATCTGACCGTGTGCATGTTTCTAGAAATCAAGACGTACAAATCCGAGAGCATTTCGAATATCTTTCTCCCTTCAACATAACTGCTTCCAAAAGCCGACCTTGAAATCACTTCTGATGTAAGAACCTTAAAATCACTGCAAACGTCGATTTCTTTGCCCTCGTAATTTTTCCAATTATCCAACATAGCTTCAACACTATCAATCATTGCTGGAACCATATCCTAAACAAGAATGATATCAATCAAGAAAACAACTTTTTCAACTCACAACAAATCAGAAATACTAGCAAAAAGTTCAATTTTTATTTTTATCTGATACAGGGTAAATT